ATATTTTCCATGATTAAGGTCAATATCAGTCCAGTCAATTTCATGTAAAAAAACGCGCGCGTGCGCGTACTTCCGCGCGTCAATGCGCGCGCAAATTTTTTAAATGCTCAAAATCGTCTCAAATTTTGTTTGAATACGTTTAAGGTCATTTTAAGCATTTTATAAAAAATCGCGCACACGCGCATGCGCGCGCGTTTTTGCGCGTTACACCATTACACAACATAGAATTGCAATTTGTTTTTCTTTCATGATATTTCTCATATATTTTCGAACAATTTGAAACCATGTTTATCTCTTTATGACCATTAATAACAAGATGAGCGTCCATTCAAGATAAATCTCCGTGCGTGCGCCATTATAGCTCTGTAGAATGCAACTGGACACCAATATTTTTTTCATATTTTGATAGAGTATGATTCGGAGATATGATTTCATGTCTCTTTTGGCCATTAAGTGTATCGTGAAATCATCATAATGGCCTTGGAACTCAAAATACGAATTTGCATATTATGACGTCAGCATATTTATGTAAAATTAAATGTATCTCTGTAAATATTGATCGAATTTCTTCCATATTTAGATATGTTGTAGCTAAGTCAATTCTCTACAAGATCAATAACAATCATTTTTCATTTTGATAACGTCATCAGAGTGAAAATTTTGATTAAAGGCCTCATGTCAGAAATTTCATAATTTGCGTGTTATGACTATAGAAGGTGAATTTCGTTCACGTAATGAATCTACATGATAGTGTTTTTTAAGAATTTTTAAGCAGTATCTCGCTTAATTTTGCTCTATTTTGTTTTCAAATTTTAGTTGACCAGCCCACCTATACTTGTTCCAAACAAGTATTATATGTCTAGTTTATTTTTCTTATTTCGACCCACTTTTTTGTTAGCATGATAACTTTGTAATGATTTATTCAAATGCTTTGAAATTTAGCACACATATGTATAGGCATATGGACATAACACAGTTAGGTTTTCAACCTTGACCTTGACTGATGACGTCATCTAGGCGCCATTTTGTGAAATTTTCTGAAAATTTACTCATGATCATATCTTCATAACCAAAAGGTATTTCTCAATCATGTTTATCATGATCAAGGTCAATATCAGTCCGTTCAATTTCATGTCCAAAAACGCGCGCGTGCGCGTACGTCCGCGTGTAAGTGCGCGCGCAAAAAAAAATTAATGCTCAAAATCGTCTCAAATTTATTTTGCATACGTTTCAGGTCATTGTAAGCATTTTATAAAAAATCGCGCACGCGCGAATGCGCGCGCGTTTTCGCGCGTAACACCATTACAAAACGTAAAATCGCCATTTTTTTTCTTTTATGATATTTCTCATATTTTTTCGAGGAATTTGATACCATGTTTATCTCTTTATGACCTTTAATAACAAGATGAGCGTCAATTCAAGATAAATGTCCGTGCGCGCGAGCTCTTTTAATACATAGCATATATGGGCAAAAACATGCCTATACAAAATCCATTATAGCTCTTTGAAATGAACCGTGACCTTCAATTTGTTTTCATATTTAGATAGAGTATGAGTCGGAGATATGATTCCACGTCTCATTTGCCCATTAAGTGTATCGTGACATCATCATAATGGCCTTGGAACTCAAAATACGTATTTGCATATTATGACGTCAGCATATTTATGGAAAATTGACTGTATCCCTGTAAATATTGATCAATTTTCTTCCAAATTTCGATATGTTGTAGCTAAGATAATTCTCTACAAGTTTAATAACCATTATTCATTTTGCTGCCGTCATCAGAGTAAAAATTACGATTAAAGGGCACATATCAGAAATTTCTTAAGTTGCGTGTCATGACTATAGAAGGTAAATTTCGTTCACGTAATGAATCTACATGATATTGTTTTTTAAAAAAAAATTAAGCAGTATCTCGCTTATTTTTGCTCTATTTTGTTTTCAAATTTTAGTTGACCAGCCCACCTATACTTGTTCCAAACAAGTATTATATGTCTAGTTGTTTTTGTAATCTTAAACACAATATTCAATTTAATACCTGTGGTTCCTTCTAGATACTTTCAAATGTTGAATTCATTTCATATCATGTGATTTGAGTTGATGTTAATTCACTTCCATAAACATGTACATCACTTTTCTGGTTACAATCCTGTCAGTGTTTATTATTTTTATTAGATTTTTGTATTTGATAGATTTATTTACGAAAAGCAAATAATTACCATTTATTCCATACAACGATATTTATATGTACAAGAAGAGAAAATATTGGTTGGTAAAATGGGCGGATAATAGCATATGAGCTAGTCGACCCTAACGCCTTATACACAGCTCAACAATGTATTTTGTACAAGTAACTTTCAGAAAGCAAAACACAAACAAAGAAATTAATTTACTATTGCAATCAATACTATACAAATATATAACTTTAACAATGTCTTACAAAATACGAAATATAATTGTTGTACACATACAGACTATTTGCATGGATTTTTGATTCATGATTTGTTCAACAAATGTGTTGTAACATAATCTGACATTAATAGGTAATCAAGTAACTAACCACAAGAGACAATGGAGATCGACCATGTGTCGTTCTAAATTTTGGCAGACGTAATTGGTCACCTTCTGTTTGCCCTGTGGAGTAGCTATACTCTAGAATATCACAGTAATCTATCAAAATATAAGACAAACTTTTATTAAACAGATCAAACATGAAAGTAATTGAGCTGTATGAGTAATTTGATTTGATTTGATTTGAATTGATTTATTTATTTCTGTTTGATTTTCTTTTTCTTTTGCATTTTTACAAATATATAACAAACAAACATTGCAAATTTACACATGACAAAAGAATATATGTAGAATAAAGTAAGGCTGGGTGTAACTAATCGAGAACATCAAACAGGAGGGTTGACAAAATAAGCAAAGCTTGATAGTATGACTACCCTCAAAGGATACATAATAATACAAATATGGAGGAACAAAATATTGGTAAAAGGGGAAGAAGACAGAAAAAAGAAGAAAAAAAGAAAGAGGAGATGCACATCAATATTCACAGACTTATGTGGTAGTTGGATTTCAATTTGATATATAAAGATTTTAAATAAGAAAAGAAATGCAAATTTGAATACTGAGTGGCCAACTTGGGATACAAAAGAATGAGAAGACTCGCGAGGTTCGGACAGTAAGAATGTGAAAGTAAGATCAGCCAGCTGGTTTTAAACCTGGGCCTGCGAGTCGGAGCCTCTCTAAATGAAAAAAGCACGAACTGCCATTTTCTGTGAATACAATATGCTCCTTAAAGGAAACCAAAACCTTCATACTAAGTTACTTTTATTGTAAAGTTTAAAAGATTTGAATGAAATCAGTGAAAATTTGAACAAAATCGGGCAAGGAATAAGGAAGTAAGAGCTTTTTAAAATGACTAGTCACTAGAGGGCGGTATTCAATTTGATGACATCATCTGTGAACAACTCTCCATGCCTTTTGTACATAAAATTTCACAATTTTTTTGTTTTCTTCGTATTTATTTGTGTTCTTGATCCGACTTCATAACATGTGAAGTAGAATATCATTTTGCATTCTATATCTTGCTTTCGGGGGAGCACATTATCTCAATCACAAGAAAAAAGGAAAAACTTGAAATTTGATGTACAAAAGGCATGGAGAGTTGTCCACAGATGATGTCATCAAATTGAATACCGCCCTCTAGTGACTAGTCATTTCAAAAACCTCTTACTTCCTTATTCATTGCCCGATTTTGTTCAAATTTTCACTGATATTTTTCAAATATCTTAAACTTTACAATAAAAATTAATTAGTATGAAGATTTTGGTTTCCTTTAATAGGCTAACCTTATGTTGCTTCCCTACACCTGTGTGGTTTTATCCACGTGTTATATGATAATGGATAATGTCAAAGTACGCCTAGGAACGAAATGTTGCAATCCTGATACACTGATTTACATAAAGAATATGACTATTCCATGGCAGACGTGTATCATAATTGACAACATCAACCTCCTTGATATCCTATCAAGCTATTTCCAGTTTACCATTTATACCTGTTTTTACGCATACTACTTATGAACATGATATAAGTTTCATTGAACTAGTTGAAGTTTGTTTATAGCAATGTGCCAGTTTTTCTGTGTGTTGTAAACTACTTCATCCACATTAATTTCGCACTTGTCAGCTTGATAAGTATGACTGATGTTAGAATCATTTGCAAAAATAACAGCAATAAATTGAAATAATCAGTTAATGATGGAAGATCATTTATATAGTTAAAAACAAAGTTGACCCTAGTACTGATCCTGGTGGAACACCACATCTTATCTTATTCCTTTCAAATAACGTTTGACTACATTGAACAATATGAGATCTGCTACTGAGATAGTCCTTAAACCATGCAAGAGGTAACCTCGAGTGGCATTATACGAGAGCTTAGCTAGTAGTTTTATGATTAAATGTGTCAAAATTGCTTTCTTAAAATCGATGAATATTCCAACAGTGAATCTCACTTCTTCGTTCTTTTAAAAGCAATCTTGATGCAGCGAAGCAGATAATAAGAGGGTAAGCGTCTACACAATAGGTATAATGTACTCCAAATTGAATAAGGTTTACGCAATATTGGGGAATAATATATCCGACAAACATGCATATATTCCCTTTAACTAATGTTTAGTCACTTTTATAGGCCCGAATTGTGCTAGTATTTAAACCTGACGCTGGATTCAGACTTTTGTCCATAAATGCAGGTTCAAAAAGGAAATAGGTCTGTCATTCTAAGTTTTCTTTTAAACATGAATTTTATACCCTGAATATGGCTTAAATAAATCAGGGGAATACGACCTTAAAGTATACCTTTATTATTCTTCGAGCAAATCCAATGGTTGTGTTTTTACAACAACCATAAAGTGCTGTTTTTATAGGTTGTCCAAATAACGAGCCATAGACCCTGGATTAAAGGGTGATATGGAACAGATTAAGTCTGTTTTCTAATCACTGGTGTCTGTGTCATCATCTTCCATTTGATCCTTCCAAAGATCAGCCGACATTGTTCTCTCAAACGCAAAGTCCTCACATAGCTCTTGACAATCCCCACGATTCATGCGTTCGAACGCCTTGGCCAAGTCTCCAAGGTTCTGAATCTTCTTTTGACTCTCAGCAAGAACGAGTAGTTCTTCAGTCGGGTTTTTGCACTGCTCCAGTGATTGTATGTAGTCTTGAAGTTTAAGCTGATTGGCAAGACCCCTCCAGTCATCAAAAACTGGGCTTTCTCTGTTCAACCGGCAACGCAGCTCATGCTGTAGCATAGGAGGTACTATGGAAGCAATTGGAACAGGGGGAGAGGCAACAGTATTTCCTTGAGAATTATTCGCTTGGACTTGTTGGAAGCTGAAATAGAAGTTTCCAGAACGCTGATCTTCTGAAAATTTTGGACCCAATTCTTGGAAAACGTCTTTCGCCAATGCTGGTAGGGCTAAGGCTCCCATTGTAGGCCTACCCTCTGCTGCAGACTCTGCCGGATGGACGGGCACTGTCGATGATGTCGGAGCTTAAAACAAACCGAACAAATTGATGATATGTCGTAAATCAATAACATATTTCGAATTTCCAAAGAGCGTCTAAAGGAAATAAGCGTATATCACAAGTATATGTGCTTCCAAAGTACTTATGATATTATTACCCCGGTTAATTTCCAGCCGTTCAAGGTAGCCTACCCACTTATTACATATGGGTCGAGTGTAGCATATATAGATTAATGTTTTGCCAAAGGATGTTCGTTCGTTACTATCTGTAACACAAAATTAAATGTCAGTAACGATTCGTCTTAAAGTTACGATTGATTGAGGAGATGATAAGACTAATTTTTGGGAGATAAAATTGACTTTTTCGTTGTTACAGAGCACAGAACACGACTTTAACCTTCAGCTCCTTACCGATTGCTCCTGTCTCTGTTACTAAATCATGTGTGACTTGGTAGGCATGTTCACATAACTGTGACTTTGTCGATGGTGGAGTCAATGGGCTAGGCCTTGTAAGAATTTCAGTAGGACTACTTCCGTCTGGAAAAAAAGCAATGTAAAACAAAAAGCTTTTAGAAAATGATGTGTGACTTGATCCGTTATTTATCGCAAGTTTACCCTCGACTTATGTTGTATTAGTTTGGTTTATTGACATGATTGAGATAATATCATTGAACATGTAGCGAAGAGGTGAAAATTATAAGGTATAAAAATAATTGATAATACATTAAATAACATTTAAAACAAAGACTAATTCCAAGCACATATATAGGCCGCAGTAGCGGTTCTAATTCCGCTTCCCCCCCCCCTTCCCCAAAAACAAGCTTATGTAGAAAACGGATGCTAGAAGACCCCACTCCCACTACCCCACCCCCTCCCTCCCCCGTCCCCCCCCCCCCAAAAAACCACATAAACATACATATGTATTCCTCCAGAACCGCTCCTGATAGGATAAAGTCTTACCCTTTGTGTATGCAGGCTCAGGTGATGTTGGAACTATCGTTTCAAGATCACGATGCTCGCTTCTTGTCGGCTCTTCGGAGAGCTGAGATGCTGAAAATGCAATAGTCAATCAAAATCACAAATACATGGTTAGTTGTTCGATTTCGTTCAAATCGTCTCTTTACAACAAGGAAATTGTTTCATATAACAAGCTCGCCGAGATCCCATTGAATGCGTATTATTTTTACACTCGTTTTTCACTTGTATATACCCATGACGCTTTCGTGAAACGATGCCCTGCATACCAAAAGGTTTGTTGATGAAAAAACAAAAATAGAAAAATGTATTAATATTTGTCTTTAAATCTTACATTTGGATGTTCCCCGTCCAACATCAGTTGGTTCAGTTTTGCCTTTGGACGATGCAGATCCTGTCGGAGTTGATTGGGCAATTGGATTCTCGTGCGGCACATCTATAAATTTATACATTTATCTATAAATTATGAATACACGATATCAAAGTGATGAGAAGCAATTAGCCTAAAACGTTTATTATTCCAAATTGGAGTCACTTGCCATGGTGCGTTTGCTACACCAAATGAACTATACAACATTGCACGTAAAAATAATGTACATAATAAAATACAGGGTTGCCCTATACAAACGGACTTCCAATGATGTGGGTCAAATTCGCTGTTATCAGTAGTAGTAGAATCTTTTCACATGTAAAAATGATACCAGTATTGACAAAAGCGGTAAAAAGTTCATTTTTGTTTTCGAGAGCAGTTTGTCCAGTATCCATACAAATCCGTTTTTGTAAATTCGTATAATCTCATGTCTTTCTTACACAACTAGTTAAAACGCCTCCCCCAAAAGTGTTTGTGGATGTTATGTTTGTGTTAAATCTGATGTTTTGTCACAGCTTGCCCGAAGCTCAGGCAAATAACCATTCCTAAAACCGCACAAGAATACGCTTTTCTCTGCCAGTGGAAGTCTTTAAGCCACCCCCTACCCCAAAGGAGTTCTTGCCCTTGATATTACCGTTGTACAGTACTTTGAAGGCGATACGCTTCGTGACTTTTTGCTTCAAGATGAACATGACGGGAACTTCAGATGCTTCACGTGGCTGAAGAGAGAACGGCATCCGATGTGTCGTCATGTGGAAGAAAGCACATTCTTCAAGTTCCTAAAGAAATCAGAGATAACCATCAATTAACACCCTACGAAATTATCAATTATTCATTGCATTTTCCCCCGGTCCTCAGCGGAAAAAGATCCCATGTGGCCATGCCTTGAACCATAATTCATGGCCGTGCAGAGGATTTTTTTTCTGTTGGGGACCGGAGGAAATTCAATGAATTATTGATAATTTATTGCATTTTCTTTGTTTTTTTTATTTGTGGGGGCTGCCCCCTAACCTTACCCTCGCTGTGTACAGTCATGATTCATTGGCAAAGCAATGGCCTCGTTACTGTGAGGACCTAGGATAAAAAATATATATATTAGGCTCTATCGAATAAGAAACGGACGATTTGTTTTGTCAGGATAATTTAACTTCGGGGGAAACTACAGCATCAAATATATTGAGATTCTTACCTGTGTTGACACTTCGTCTTCGTTTTCCAGATGTCTGACAAATAGGGGTCCTTGTCCCCAATATACACAGTACTGCTCACCAGGAAAGGCTACCTTGTAGTCTTGTATGGTATCCTGCAAAAGGTTGAACATATATGGATCCATATTGACACAATGATGATGACAATAATAGTAATAATAATAATAATAGTTGCAATAATTGCAATAATGCTGTTCTTCAAGAGGGCACTGAAATGTACTGGAGCAATTGCAAGGTACCCATATACACTCTGGCGGCAATTATGGGTGAATATTTTATGAGTCTCGAACTGATTATTTACTTCAAGATGCGAAATGTTTATAGGGTTTGAATATTATATCTGTGATTTGTTTTACATTTGTTGTGACCACGTACCCCCCCCCCGCCCCCCTGCCCCAACCCCTCCTCCCCGTCCGTTCACGAACCCCTCTACTCAGAAAACGTTGCACAAAAAAGTATTGACATCGTAACCACTGGAAGACCGGAGACACCAAATGAAAGTTATTTCAATGAAGTTAATGAACATAAACATGTAATATACGTTGCATGGACTTACTTAAGGATCTCCTGCCTATTTTAACATTTATTTAACCCAAATTCTTGTTCAGCTAAAATTATGCCGAACTGTTAAAGATGAAGTTGAGTTCTGGTCATGCGATTGCATTGTGAAAGAAACGGTGTGAAATCGACCAGCAAAGGTTGATCATCTAGCATAATAGAATTTGTGTGTAATGCAAGGTTCTGGAATCATCAAAATGATAAGAAATTTGGCCAAGTCTTGGTTAAGTTACAAACACTGTACACAGAAAGATGTATATGGGACTACACGAACACGTGGCGTAAAAACCTACCCCCCCCCCCCGAGTTTTACGAGTTACATGACATATTTAGAATATAAAGGCATTTGAAGAGCCATGCTTTTCAGGGAACATGTCTTATCTGATGTTCTTCCACACTTGCATAATAAGAATGATAACGCTCACAAATTATTTTTCACCTCTTCCCAGAACTCAACCTTCTCTTTTATTCATGATAAATCTACCTCTTTCTTGCCACAGAAGTCGTCTTTAATATCGAGGTAGATGTAGTTCGTGACGTCTCTGGATGTTGAAAGGGGAACGTACGGCGTACAGACGAGCCGTTTACCGATGAAGTATCTCCTGATTAAGGAGATAATCCACCATTCCGAGAAATGGTCTAAGTACAGAGTAAGGTGATTCTTTGCGACTACACACCGGGCAGCTTTGTCAGAAGCAGGAACTATCCTTGAAAATTCATCAGACCCTTTCAACAAGACACACATAAGAAGGGACCGTGTTAATTTTGTTACGCGGTGAACTGTCAACGCTCAGGTATTTAGTATAACAAAGTAAGGAAAGTATTTTTTTTGTAAGGTTCGCAGATTGACTGGGAAGCTTTGTTGGAAGGCCATTGTTTATGTATGAGCAATGTCATTATAAGATGTCACCTGCTATTTGGTGATTGGTTATAAACAGAAAATTTCATGTATTAGATCATGCTTAATCTTTGTTTGTTAAATTCCCACAATTCCCCACGATCTTTCCGAAAGAATCTGGAAATTGGCGGCTGTATGAACTGTGCGACTTATACGTTATTCAAACACAAAGACTGAAAAGAAAAATTAAAATGAACTTCTATTCTAATAGAAGTTTATCAAGTTAAACTCAGTGAATAAGAACATCCTGAGAGGAATATCAACATTGAAGTGAGGTCATATGATACCAAGAATAGTAGGGAAGCATTCATTTTGTGTGAACACCTCTGTCATAATTGTGATGGTTTCGTCGTGGTAGTCAGGGGCTCTCTGCACTGTCACAACGAGAGAAAAGAATTTATATGGAAATATGGGATCTATGGTAATAGGAAGATCTTACCAGTCCTTCTGGTGTATAGCACAATTTCTGCCTTGTCTGGGTTGGTGAAAATAGCGCTATGTGAGACCGTGACTTCCACCGGAGTTTTAAACTGAAGACCAGGAGGGGATAGCTTGAGCCCAACTGAGATGATAACTTCGTCTTTTTCCAGCTTTAAGTCAGGTGGAACGGTTGTCAATGCTTCTGCTGTGATATATTTGGCTCTGTCCTCATCTTCTGGTGAAAGTGAAACCTTGATGCTGTACTCGTCGAGACTTATAATCATTGTCTCTTCTCTGATGCTCTTCCTCGAGGAGCGAGAGATGTCTTGTGGACTGGTAAGATATGGATCGTATGTTCGGGAGTATGGGGGCATATAGCTAGGTAAAGCCCCACTACCAAAAATACTGCGAAGGTAGTCATAGTGGTCCTCTTCATTAGCAAGTTTTCCCGGGTCAGCACCTTTCCTAACAAGGTATTTGACAATAGCAAGATGACCCTTGAGTGAAGCTATGTGAAGAGCAGTTATCCCATATTTATCACCAATTTCGATACCTGCTCCTTTGTTAACGATATACTCGACGACTTCGAGATGGCCTTTTTGAGAAGCACAAAACAAGGGTGTCCTGTCGTTTTTGTCACATTTGTCAAGCTGTGCCCCTTTACTAACAAGGTATTTGACAATACCAAGATGACCCTTGAATGATGCTCTATGAAGAGCTGTTATCCCATCTTTATCACCATTTGTAATGTCTGCTCCTTTGCTCACGATATACTTGACGACTTTAAAATGGCCTTTTTGAGAAGCACAAGACAAGGGTGTCCTGCCTTTTTTGTCACATTTGTCAAGCTGTGCCCCTTTACAAACAAGGTATTTGACGATATCAAGATGACCCTTGAATGAAGCCAAACTAAGTGCGGTCTTACCATCGTCGGTACTCCTATCCAGCTCTGCTCCTTGACTGGTTAGATATTTCACTTCATCTATATTTCCAGTTTGTGATGCATCATGTAGTGCTGTACATCCACCTTTACCACACGTGTTAATATTGGCTCCTTCTGTCAAAAGGTACTCTGCTATGTCAAGATGGCCACTGTATAAAGCAAGGTGTAGAGGGGTCCAGTAATCATTAGCAATTCTCCCTAGGTCTACCCCTTTATTAACAAGGTATTTGACAATGTCAACATGACCTTCGACTGATGCTATGTGAAGAGCTGTAAACCCATCTTTGTCACCAACATCAAGATCTGCTCCTTCGTTCGCTAACAGCTCTACCACATGAAGATGGCCTTTCTTTGAGCATAAGTGAACCGATGTCTGTAGGTTAGCATCGACAACATTCACTTTTGCTCCATGATGGGTAAGGCATTTAACCGTTTGCAAATGTCCGTTTTCCGAAGCAATGTGAAGGAGTGTCTGGCCAGACTTATCCGAGCAGTTTACATCAACTCCTCCCGAATCCTCTGACTTGTCCTCCGAGTCGATTAATGATTGTATCTTCAGGAAGTCTCCTTTTGCTGCTGCTGAAAACAGCGCCATGTTTAACGCAATTCACACCCACAACGTTTTTCTCTTGATGATAATATATCACCGTGCTCTCAAAACATCATGTTTCTTATTGTAATGTAACATTGAACTACTGTGTAAATTAGCCTGTACCCTGTAGTACCGATGATATTTGGTCTTTTCTGAAGGAACACTCAAGCGTGATTATATGAAAGCATTACATAAATTGAACTTTGCATTCAGATCCGTATTCAGCTGTAAAAGTCTGCCTACATTACTGTGCTGCGTATTGCAACAACACAGTCCTATTGCCTTGCCATTTCTCTGTATTTCTTTTGGCCTGAACTATACCTGGTTTCAGATTAATTTTGCGCGAAAGAAAAAGAACATGGCGGATCAATATTTCATTACGCCTCATTCATAACCAGTGCTAGGTTGACGTGCCCCCCCCCCCTTCCCCACGCACATAAACACACACACAAACAAAAACATCGAATACTAAGAAATATGAGAGAAAACAGGAAAAAGAGAGAAAGATGAAAAGGACAGAGGAAAATAAATGAATACAATCTCAACCATCGCTTTTCTTAAACACTCTACATGTGTAATTCTGTAACCTGCTGATGTAGAGTACTCGCTTCATTGATCTAGAAGTGGCAGAATATAAACCAAATTTGTCAGTATATCTCCATCAATAATAAGCATTATGAGATGCTAACAAAGTGCTGGTCATTCGTCTTTCTCCATGTACATATATTATGCACTTTGCTCAAAATGTATTACTTTCATAATTCTCATTTTGAATACATTCTCAGAATTTTGTTTACTAAAAAAAAATGGACTATCATCCTATATCTTGAGAATGAGTTCTAAAAATAAAAAAGACAAATTTTGATTCATGTGTGGTTCAACTAACAGAAGATGCCAGACCGACTAAAGACCGGACACACTATAACATTGCCCCGAATCGCTGAGAATCGGTCGATTTGAAGTCGGTTTGGAGATATGATTAATACCCCAGTCACACTGGCAAACCGACTTCGTACCGGCCCCAACGAGTTCAAACTGACTTAATTGTTGGCCTCTGTGGATAATGTAATCGGTGCTCTGCTCTGGTCTGGGTGCACGTGGATGTCTTTGTATTTGATTTGTCGTAGTACGTTACAAGAATAAGGTTCACTTCTATTTTCTTTATGGATCTTTTTCTTGGGACTGCAACTACTTAAACATCACCTTTATTTTTTTGTTCCATTCAGCAGACAATATTATGGTTCGTGATTGTTATGTCACTGTCCTCCAAAGACAAGTTTTCGGAATTAATTATTGTTATACTGATGAATTTTAACAATCTATCCTTTCTTGTTCTTTTCTTTCCTTTTCTTTTCTATCCCAGATATTTTCTGAGTGCAAGGATAAATCTGCAGGTATTATTTTGCAAGAAACATATGGAGTTTAATGTGGGATTGAAGTTGTTATTGGTACTTTACACAGTATAGGTATTGTTGTGTTGATTGATTCACATTTAGAATTTAAGGTTCTTTCTTTAATTTCAGATCAAATCGGGATATATTCAAAAGGGTTTAGAAATTATGATACATTATATACCTCACTTAAGAAATCCAGCCATCTGATTGGTCGAAATTGCATTCATAAACTTCAACTATTTCTGTAAAATTCCCAGTAACCATGGTTAAAACAGTTCTAAAATCCCAGT